TAAGCTCGATAGTCAATTTTTTAAAAAAATTCCGAACTTTGCCTTTAGGAAGAGAATCAAACTTAGATAAAAAGTTTTCTAAATTTACCTCAAAGTTCTCTTGGTCGGATTCCTCATCGGAATTAGCCATAAGACATAGACCCGCATGATTAGAACTCTTGTCACTTTCCTCCTCTTCATCATCGGATGAGTCCCTCAGGCTGCCATCATGACCTTTTTGAGGTCTCTATTGAACCCTTTGTCTTCGCTGAACCTCCGATTGGAACTGGACTTGTTCTTGTCATAGGTTCGGTCTTTTTTCTTTTGTGGACAATCTTTAGCCCTGTGGTCAAAGGAACCACAAACAAAACATCATTGGTTATTAAAAGATTAAGAGTTACTTTTACCTTGTTTCTTCCTGTTGCTTTTGAACCAGCGGTACATCTTCCCAATTTGTCTAGCAAACATTCTCATCTCATCATCCGATTCACTTTCGGATTCTTCCTCCTCTTCTCGAGCTTTTAGAGCTATTCTTCTTTCTCGCCTTACATTCTCAGCATCCCGTTCTTCTTGAAGTCCTAACTCATATGTCATGAGTGAATCGGTTAAGTCCTCGAGAGTCATGGTGGATAGATCTTTTGCTTCTTCTATAGCTGTAGTCTTAGGCTTCCATACAGAGGGAAAGCTTCTCATGACCTTCCTCACTTGATCTTCAACAGAGATATCCTTTCTAAGGGCTGAAAGCTCATTTATGATATTAGTAAAACGTGCAATCATCCCTAATTGACTGTTTAGGCTTCATCACGAATAATTCGTAATTTCGCATAAAAATGTCAAATTTGGATCTTCTTACACGTGAGGTACCTTCATGAGTAACCTTGAGCAATTCCCACATTTGTTTTGCAGACTTGCATCCTAGAACCCGGTTGTGTTCGGCAGGACCAAGTCCACAAATCAAGTACTTTAGTGCTTGGGCATTATGCTCGAGTTTTTGATAATCATCTGTAGTATATTCAGATTTAGGTTTAGGAACAACCTTACCTTCAGCGTTTACCTTAGTGATGACATTGTTGCCCTCTTCAATTACATTCCATACCTGATAGTTTTCGGCTTTGATAAATGTTGGGGTATTGGGCCCAAGCCCAATACTCCCAGCCCAAAGCATGGAGAGGCCCAAAGCAGTCAGAGGAGTTCAAGATATCCCAAACGGGAGAGTACCTGAACAGCATTCGGGTCGATTTATTCACTTGAGATAATCAATAGAGTACTGACATCCAAACACCCACAAAAGGACCCTGCACCCCGAACGCGCTACCCGACCGGGTAGCCAGCAAGTGGAAGCCGCATTTAATGCTGAAATATGGCAATGGCAAGTAAGGGCATGGGTCCAAGACGACAGAGGCAGCAGCCAATCGGGTTCAACCACGTCACCATCCCACCTACCCCCTCTTAGTATAAATACCCGCATTGAATACATTGTAAAGGGTTAGCATTTTTAGACTCAGAGCTTAGCAATATAATCATCTCTCTTGCTCTTGTATTTGAACTCATACCGACTTACCGTTCGGGCAATTTCAGTGTAATCGCAGAATTACGTAATACAAGTTAGCTTCTGAGTTCAGACTTAATTCAATACTTTATATTTTACACACCTTTTAACCAAGACAAACGTCCTTAATATCCAAAGCGTGTGTTGGGATTTCGGATCTACGGGACTAAACCTCAACATTCAATCCCAAGAAGTGTGCCTTAACAGTCAAGGGGGGCAAATTCTTGGGATACATGATGAGCGAACGAGGGATCGAGCCTAATCCCGAGAAAGTGAAAGCAATCATGGATATGGAAGCGCCAAGGAACTTGAAGGAAGTTCAGAGGCTGACTGAGAAAGTGAAAGCAATCATAGATATCAGAGTCTAGTTGATCTTAGAGAAATAGCTTCCATTTATGTTTTGAAGCAGAGAGGGTTGATGTGCATTTAGTATGAACTTCTTTTGTACCATTAGGGCCTTTTGTGTATTATAAATTTTTGACTTGTCATAAATGGGTCTTGAGTGATGTTTTTACCTATGTATATCAACAATTGTAGATCCTTTTATAAAAAGCATTTCAATATAATGCAACCCAAAGTTTTGACAATTTTGCTTTAGACTTGTCATAAACCAACATTTGTTGTATAATGTTATCCTTTTATAGATAACAAACTTTCTTAAACTGAAAAGTGATTAATTGACAAAAAATTGCATGCACCAAAGCTGCACATTTGGTACGCCAAACCAACACAGTTCATGCACATAGAATTTCACAAAGCCACAAAACATGCACAAAACCTGCATATATATGTCATGTATATGACTTGCATAGACCAAATATCTACCAGTTCAGACCTAAATAGATCCAGATTGGGCCAAAAAAATTCTGTCCAATTAACTTATAACATCTTTGTCAAAAGCATTTGTATTACTCATAAAATATCATCACGCAATAAACTAACGCAAAAAACACTACACTCTACATCAATATTGTTGAAGGAAATAAATATTTAGAAAATAAGAATTTGGAACTTGTAAATTACTAACCATATGGGCAAATTTACTAGAAGTTGGAGTGATGATGTTTTATACCATGAGTTGTGCTTGGTGTACCCCATTTTGGGGTACCCCATTTGTACCTTACCTATTGTGTGGTTCACAGAAGCCATCATTTAAATGAGTTGCCTCACTTAAATGAATAGCTCCATTTATGTCACACAATAGGGGTGGGTACAAATGGGGGTACCTATAGTATTTTTCTATACACATATATCCCTCCTATTAATTTCCTTATTAAACCAACTATATTATCTTGCTTATTAATAAGTTCTGTGCATTGTCATCATTAAAGTACAAAAGTTTAATATTTCTCAGGAAACGCTAATCAGTAATGTTGTTTAATTTAAACTTTTCACCAAGACAATAATAGACTTTGCGCTTTCTGGTTATTAATGATATTTTTAATCTTAATTAGCTCTGTGGTACGAGGTGATGCTCGATCTTTGTGGGAATTGAGAAGTTTAGCCTTTCATAAAACCATCCCACATCAGCTTCAACATATAATGATGTTTAACACTAGTGAAAATAGAACTAACATTTTAATATTTTGATATACAATAACCCATTTACTTTTCATTGTGATGCATCTATCTATGAGTCGATCACCCGGAAAAAATCTCACTGTGCTTTAGTACAAGAGTAAGACCGAACACATTCGACCCTCCCTTACCCCACCAAAGATGGGGAGCCTTTGCGACACTGGGGTAATGATAATGATAATGAAATGACTGTTTATTGTGATGCGTCAATATGTTTATGAGTAAATATATATGGAGCACGCCAACACGCTCACTACGAAACATGTTGGCTTGATAGATGTTCAGAATTCACTCATCTAATAATGTGGGAGAATCCGGGCCATTTAATTTTGATATCTTCAACCCTAATTATTGGTGATGTCACATTTGTTGAAAATGATGTAATTGCTTAATTATTAGTTTGCTAAGCCAGAAAATAACCACTAATCACTTTGTTAATCATAAAATCATACATTTTGAAGTCAAGCTACCCACTTTATTCCGGATTGTCTTCGATAATTTTTTTGAGTTTGTATATTCAATTTATGCGCTATATTATCTTGTATAAAAGACGAACTACTTTACACTTTGCAGGTAAATTGATTTTTTTACAACCGAAAGAAATGCATTGAAGTCAAATACCACTTTAATTTACTCCTAAACTTCTTCAATGCTTTTTTGATTTTGCACAAGTCTAGTTTTTGCGCTATATTATTGTGTATAATTTACAAGCTACTTTACACTTTGCAGCTAATTTGATTTTCCATGGCAGAAACAAATGAATTGAAGTCAACAATATACCACTTAATTTCGGAATGTCTTCAATTCAATCATATTCTTTCTTTTGGACAGCTGGTCATACTTGTAGAAAATATTAAAGTTGCACTGAAGTTACATTTTACAAACTGCTTCATAAGTTGGATATTTGTAATGACGGTCAACTTTCTCCATTCCGTAATGCTTGACTCTCACTAAAGCTTGACTCCTTGAGGGTAATTAAGTACTCCATCTATATTTAAAAGTTTCCTACACTTTCCTGTTTGGGATGTATTTAAAATTTTTCTACACTTCCATTTTTGGTAAGTTACCCTTTATAAAATACTCAACTACTCTTACGTTGTCTACTTTTTATCTTCTCTTTCATACTTTTTCACTCTCTCTCCTACTTTTTCTACACTATTCACTACATCTACTATTCTATCCTAAAATATTGTGGCCAATGCTAGTGTAGTGAACAATTAAATACCGAGGGAGTAAAGTTTATATTGCTTCATCACTTATACCTCACCTAATTGACATGCAAGACCTGCAAAAGTGCAAAGTAACACAACAATGACAACATTGTTTTAATTAATTACTAATTAAATTCATGCACTTTTTTGTTCAAACTTTATAAATTTTGACCGTTAATTATTCATAAATTACATTATTTTATAATACAAAATTTATTTTATATACTTCATTCGCAGGATCGAAGTCAGAATTTGATTATAGGGGGGTCGATCCAAGAATAAACACAAACAATAAAGTGTATCGTATAAATATAGAAATGTAAATTCATTTGTACACCTCTATATAAATATATAAGGCTGATCAAGTATCATTTCTTGATACAATTTCCCTCACTCTGTCTCTGCGACGGCACCTTATACTGTATTCTATATTCTCGAGAGAGACATAGAATTTCTATCTTACATTCTTCAACATATATTCTCCTTCAGTCCATCCCCGCGTGTTTTATGCCTTCATCTCGCTTCTCTCACTCGTTTTCATGACTCACCATCATACATTCTTTGTCTCCAACTTTTGTTGTTGAATTTGGTCCCCTCACCCCTCCCCGTTTTTTATTTTGGATTTGTGTCTGATTTTCCGGATACTTCTCTGTCCATTTTGAGCTTTCCCAACGATTGACATGAAATTTTGTAAGCTGTCAAAGCACCTGTTGAAAAAGAAAACGATCTAAAAGGCGGAAAAGCTGTTAGTCTTTTTCGAGATACAGATTGTTTTCTTTTTAATTTTAAATATCGGGTATCGTTAAAATTAGCAAAGGATTGAATTTTGGGGTCTGGGTATTTCTAAGAATCTGATTATCGGTTCAGAAGAGAAGTTCATTAGCGTTCTTGATATGGGTGAAAATTCTAATAGCATTGATGAATGGAGGGAGTATTTTAGGAGTGCTAATGTGGATATATTTGATATAATCGAGCACGCTATTACAGTGGCAACCCTAGATAAGCCCAATGAACTGAGATTGAATAGAGCTCGAATTGCTGAGAAGCTTTTCACATGTGAAACAACCACCTTGTGCTCCACCTGCAGAAACGTAGAGCTGGTTTTACGGCCTGGTGATTCCCAAACCATGTCCCAAACCACTGAACTCACCAACCTAGCACAGACTGATAAGAGCAAAGAGAGAAAAATTAATGATGATCGTTTGGATATGGAGGAGTTCAATGCCAGCAACCAGATCAGCAATGGCAGCTGCTATGCAGATGCTGAGGCTTTGAGTGATGAGATTGAGGAGATTTCTAAGACTGTTAATGAGGTCTCAAGGATCAAGCAGATCATCGATAAACATCAAGAAGAGGTCTGTATCACCTCCCTTGTGTGTTGAATTAGTTTTTCATCATTTCTGGAGTTTTTGTTTGTATTTACTTGATCAGGTGTCATTTATCTGATTTTTTGTTTCTTGCTTAATCAATTTGTGGAATTTGCTATGAGAATAAAGAAATTTGATCTCTGATTTTGTGTGTGTGGATAAAATGGAGATGATTATGAGTTATTTGATTTTATTTAGTTTTTTAATGTGATCTAGTTTGTATTGGGAGCTCGTGAGAGCAGAGTAATCTAACCTTCGCGTTTGATCTCATTTCTATACCCTCATGGTAGATTTTCTTGGCTATTTTGGGTTTAATTAATATAGATTGGTGTTTCCTTTTATGACAGCCTGATTACTTGGTGATTGATTCCCTTAGAAGACTTCAATTGATGGCTTTGTCTGTGGATATTCTGAAGGTTTGATGATCAGTTTTGCCCATTTTTGTTATACTTTGTTTCACTTTCCCTTGGTGTTATACTTCATTCGCTAAATTTCATGTCTGTGTGCATATGTTACTTTATATGCAACAGAGTAGTTAAATTTTGCTGCCTTGGTTCAGGTCACAGATATTGGAAAGTCTGTAAATGTTATCCGAAAGCACAAATCTGATCAAATTAAGCATGTTGCACAGGCATTGATTGGGTATGATCAATATTACATTGCAGTCTGATATGATTAAATGAATTAATTTTTTTCTTTGTTTGTGTTACTAAAATGGAATTGAATGCTGATGAACTGGTTGGATTGCACCATTTGCAGGGCTTGGAAGGAAAAGGCAGATGAATGGGCCCTTGCCACAGAAGCTTTGACAAGTAGTTTCATAGTTGCTTAGGGTTTGTTTGGACGGAGGGTTTTAGAACAGGGAAACTTTTGACGGCTTAGTCAATACACGTATCTGGGATTTTATAAAATTTAAAGGATGACATGTAGATGATCAATAACATTTCAATTGTCTTGTAAATTTGTAAGAAACGTTGTATTTATCAAGGTATAGATTAAGTTCCCCAAATCCTTACCCTACAAACCCATACAAAACCTTCCATCCAAATACACTGTTAAAACACTTTGATTTTTTCATATTAATGAGAGCGAGAAGAAGATTGATCTTGTTAGTTGTTTCTTTGTAGAATGTATGGAAGGTAAACAACACACTCCCGAGTCAGGGAAGCGAAAAGCTTCAGCAGTAGAAGAAGAAGAGGAAGAAGAAGAGGAAGGGCTACCATCTCCGCCAATGGATGAGGGAGCTTTCTTTACTACTAATACAATGGACCTTTCAGGGGTATATATCCATATGCTTCCATTCTAATTGGCATTCTTATTCCTATTTGTATGCTTTGCCATGATTAATGTATTAATTTGCATTTGTTTTGCTCTCATGTCAACCCTTCAAGATCTTTGATGACTTAGATGAAGATGGAAGTAAGTTTTGAATAGTGTTCTTAGTTTTGAACAATGAAAAATAATGAAGATGGAAGTGAGTTAGTCTGATTGACATTTTTTTCTAGATCTTCGTAACAGCGAGGAGTTCTACAAGAAGTGTGAGAGTGTTAGAAAGCAGCCAAAGAGACAAGAAGCTGCTTTGCATAAACCATCAACTGCTTCTTTTCAAGAGAGGCATACTAAAACACAAAAGGAAGATGAGACTGTAATGAAAAAACCAGCCACTTCTGCTTCTCAAGAAAGACATTCTCAGAAACCAAAGACAAAAGAGGCTGTAATGAAGAAAAATGAAGTAATTTCTGCTTCTGATGATTGGTTTACTCCACTGCCAAAGGAAAATGAATCCACAATTAAGAGTACAACTTGTAGCAGACCAGAAAAGCCTTCTGCTAATGGCCCAGGCTCACAAAGACTGGTGAAACCAACTATGGAACATAAGGCCACTATTACCAAGAGGCCTGTTGTTCCTCAACAAAGTGTAAGCTTCAAAGTGCATTCTTAAAGCTATTTTCCCCCTTTCATCTGTTGATATATTGTCTGATTTATTTAATATTGTTTGGTTGACTAGAATGTGAAGTGTCGAGATGAGGAATCAATTCAAGCAAGATTGGAAGTGGCGAAGAGGAAACTTAAAGAACGTTATGACTCTGTCGAATATGGTATGTCCCCCTCCCCTCTGAAATTAAGTGACTGAAAAACCATAAACGAACATATAAAGTCTTGAACTACTATATGATGAAACTTTTTTTTAATTCTAATGCTAAAAATATTTCTTCCGTAAGTTCTTATTGTCTTTTCCTAATTCTTGTTTAGCGAAGAGGCAGCGGACGACTCAGTTTGTGCAGATACATGACATTCCCAAGCGAGGTCTAGGGAACAAAAATGCTTATGTGAAACCAGGCTATTGCAACAAGCAATGAAGATGCCTCCTTTAGCAGAGATGTTTGGCAAACTTTTTATTTGTAAAGAACATTGTCTAGTGGATCTCAGAGAAATAGCTTCCATTTATGTTTTGAAGCAGAGAGGGTTGATGTGCATCTGGTATGAACTTCTTTTATACCATTAGGGCCTTTTGTTTATTATACATTTTTGACTTGTCATAAATGGGTCTTGAGTGATGTTTTTACCTATGTATATCAACAATTGTAGATCCTTTTATAAAAAGCATTTCAATATAATGCAACCCAAAGTTTTGACAATTTTGCTTTAGACTTGTCATAAACCAACATTTGTTGTATAATGTTATCCTTTTATAGATAACAAACTTTCTTAAACTGAAAAGTGATTAATTGACAAAAAATTGCATGCACCAAAGCTGCACATTTGGTACGCCAAACCAACACAGTTCATGCACATAGAATTTCACAAAGCCACAAAACATGCACAAAACCTGCATATATATGTCATGTATATGACTTGCATAGACCAAATATCTACCAGTTCAGACCTAAATAGATCCAGATTGGGCCAAAAAAATTCTGTCCAATTAACTTATAACATCTTTGTCAAAAGCATTTGTATTACTCATAAAATATCATCATGCAATAAATTAACACAAAAAACACTACACTCTACATCAACATCGTTGAAGGAAATAAATATTTAGAAAATAAGCATTTGGAACTTATTAGGAAGTGGTTAGTTACTAACCATATGGGCAAATTTACTAGAAGTTGGAGTGATGATGTTTTATACCATGAGCTATGCTTGGTGTACCCCATTTTGGGGTACCCCATTTGTACCTTACCTATTGTGTGGTTCACAGAAGCCCATCATTTAAATGTGTTGCCTCACTTAAATGAATTGCTCCATTTAAGTCACACAATAGGGGTGGGTACAAATGGGGGTACCTATATATAGTATTTTTCTATTCACATATATCCCTCTTATTAATTTCCTTATTAAACAAACTATATTATCTTGCTTCTTAATAAGTTCTGTGTATTGGCACCATTAAAGTACCAAAGTTTAATATTTCTTAGGAAACACTAATCAGTAATGTTGTTTAATTTAAACTTTTCACCAAGACAATAATAGACTTTGCGCTTTTTAGTTATTAATGATAATTTTAATCTTAATTGGCTCTGTGGTACGAGGTGATGCTCGATCTTTGTGGGAATTGAGAAGTTTAGCCTTTCATAAAACCATCCCACATCAGCTTCAACATATAGGGATGTTTAACACAATTGAAAATAGAACTAACATTCTAATATTTTGATATACAATAACCCATTTACTTTTCATTGTGATGCTTCTAACTATGGGTCGATCATCCGGAAACAATCTCATTGTGCTTTAGTACAAGGGTAAGACCGAACACATTCGACCCTCCCTTACCCCACCAAAGGTGGGAGCCTTTGCGACACTGGGGTAATGATAATGATAATGAAATGACTGTTTATTGTGATGCATCCAGGGGTGTAGCCAGAGCACTGGGCCGGTACAAAGAAAATTTTTGGAAAAAATTTTACACTGAATTTTTTACACTAAAAATTTAGACGATTTTAAATTTTGGGTTGGGCTTGGGCCAGGGTTGGCCCTCCCCTAGCTTCGCCCCTAGATGCATCATTATGTTTATGAGTAAATATATATGGAGCACGCCAACACGCTCACTACAAAACATATTGGCTTGATAGATATTCAGAATTCACTCATATAATAATGTGGGAGAATCCGGGCCATTTAATTTTGATATCTTCAACCTAATTATATATTGGTGATGTCACATTTGTTAAAGATGATGTAGTTGCTTAATTATTAGTTTGCTAAGCCAGAAAATAACCACTAATCACTTTGTTAATCATACAATCATACATTTTGAAGTCAAACTACCCACTTTATTCCGGATTGTCTTCGATAATTTTTTTGAGTTTGTATATTCAATTTATGCGCTATATTATCTTGTATAAAAGACGAACTACTTTACACTTTGAAGTTAAATTGATTTTTTACAACCGAAAGAAATGCATTGAAGTCAAATACCACTTTAATTTACTCCTAAACTTCTTCAATTCTTTTTTGATTTTGCACAAGTCCAATTTTTGCGCTATATTATTGTGTATAATTTACAAGCTACTTTACACTTTGTAGTTAATTTGATTTTCCATGACAGAAACAAATGAATTGAAGTCAACTATATACCACTTAATTTCGGAATGTCTTCAATTCAATTATATTCTTTCTTCTGGACAGCAGGTCATACTTGTAGAAAATATTAAAGTTGCACTAAAGTTACATTTTACAAACTGCTTCAATTCATAAGTTGGATATTTGTAATGACGGTCAACTCTCTCCATTCACTAAAGCTTGACTTTCACATAAGTTGGATATTTATTATTCCATCTTTGAGGTCCCGTATTGATAATGAAAACAAAAAAAACAACTTTATTATTCCATATTTCTATAAAACTACGAGACATAGAGCCCATTTGGTAGCACGAAAATTGGCTGATTAGGCTGATTTCGCTGAAATTTATGAAGTTCTGGGTGAAGTGGCTACTTTGGCTGATTCTACTTATTTAAGAAAAAAATAACTTTAAAATATATGGTATTAATTAAATAAAATAAAATAAAAATATATATGTAAAAATAGCTAAAATGGTAATCTACAGTAACTTCATCCAATACAGCCGGAAAAGTAACTCCAACCTTACTTTTTCTGATTATTACACAATTCAGCGTGTGAAAGCAAAAATTACGTGTTTGGTGAAAAAATTGGCTTATAAACCTGATAAGATGAAAAATAGTGTTGCCAAACGGCCTTATAATGTATATAAGAAAAGTGAGTTCAAATGAAAATTGACCGTCAAATTTTGCAAAGTGAAGTAAACAATGTGCTAAGTGTATATGCCTATATGGAGTACTTAGCTTGACATTTTGTGAAGTAAACAATGTGTTAAGTGTGAGTGTCTTTCATATTTTGGCTTCTGGTAGCCTGAAGTCGATTTCTTGTCTTCCATTGTCATTATCTTCTTTATC